CTCCTTCATATCATTTGGAGAATTCTCTTCCGTGCCTATCACCTCTTGTATGGCACATCAACTCTTTATCCTGCCGTCTTCAAAGGACTGGCAGTCTTGCAGTGGAATGCTTAAATCAGGACCCGACATGGCTCCTGATTCTCCGCTGGGAGCTGCTAGCTTCTTCTTCACACACGAGCTCGATTCACTGTAGCTCGCCTGGACTTTCATCAACGAGTCCATCTCACTGCAACTCGGATGATTTCACTTCAAAGTCCGGCTCATCGATCCAGCATCGAGCGACTCACTGCTCTTCACGATCACCACTATACCGGCTTTGATGTCTACATTTCAACCTGGGCCTCCGACATCGAGCGACTCACTGCCTCGTCGTCGAGCGCCACATCTCTTCTCTTTTCTTCTCGCCTGAACTTTCATCAACGAGTCCATCTCACGGCAACTCTGATGATTTCACTTCAAAGTCCGGCTCATCGATCCAGCATCGAGCGACTCACTGCTCTTCACGATCACCACTATACCGGCTTTGATGTCTACATTTCAACCTGGGCCTCCGACATCGAGCGACTCACTGCCTCGTCGTCGAGCGCCACATCTCTTCTCTTTTCTTCTCGCCTGAGCGCTACATTCATCATCATCATGAGCGTCGGCATCGACATCACGTTCTTCTCGGCTCTTCAGCCACGTCAACGAAGTCGCGTTTCCATCATCAAGCCTCCGCACAATCATCGCGTGAGCCCCTTTCTTCGTTTCATCCGTCATCATCTTCATGGACTTTCGACGTCATTTCTACCATTGTCGTAAGCTCTATTCATTCACTGCATTCATTCATGTCCATCTCATTACATGACCATTTAAACTCCGTGCAATATCCACGATCCTCATTCTGAATCATTTATTTGCTTGCATGACTACACTTTGCAAGTGTTGTGTCTGCAAATCAGTACCCAATAAAATAACGAAAAGGGAATGCAGTTTATCATGTATTTTATTGCCAGTGCAACCTTGTTTCCTCGTAGTTAAATTAAAAAGAGAGTTATGTTGTGTGATCAGTGAACACGCCTTTACAATTTCCAATCACAATACCCACGCACATACATATCTCCATATTGGTGACCCTGTCGTTTACTTGGAAGCTTGGTTGTACAATTTTATTATTCCCTGACTTTTTGGACTTAACAATTTCATTTTTGTCTTTCTTCAAATGTATACATTCTGGATTTTGTTTCAAATGTTTTATGCTCTTGCATTTATACACGTTTATTCGATGCATATCATGTCATGTATTACTATACTGAAAGCCTTTCACATACCATGCTTGTAACTCGTTCAGGGAGAACAGTACATTTCTCAGATCGCTATGTTCAAGTTTGGCATTTCAAATGAGACTTTCTCATATATTTTCATTCGGAATATTACTTTTTCTCTATTATCGCCCGTTTCCTTCTATTCAACGTTCTAGGAGGGGGCTGATGTAGTATTTTCCTCATTTCATCTTTCTTTATTTCTCAATTTCATTTGTCACTTTGCTAACCCAATTTGGGAGGACATTGCCCTCTGACTTATGCCAGGCACTGCCACCCCTATATATTTGTCAACAAGTGTCAGCATAATGGCTTCAATGTCCCTGTACCTGGTAATCACCAGTGACTCACTCTCCCTTTCCAGAATTGGTATATAGTACCCTTTTTGTTTTATCCTGCCTCCCAAGAAGGATGAAAACAACATCATACTCTCTAACTTTCTGCACTACCACACTTCTCATAGTTCTTCGATGAAGTAACACGTCAATATGAGAATGTCACCTCTACCATCACAATTTGCTCAATGCATACACAAGGAGCAAATCCTTCTACAATTCTAACCTCCTTCATATCATTTGGAGAATTCTCTTCCGTGCCTATCACCTCTTGTATGGCACATCAACTCTTTATCCTGCCGTCTTCAAAGGACTGGCAGTCTTGCAGTGGAATGCTTAAATCAGGACCCGACATGGCTCCTGATTCTCCGCTGGGAGCTGCTAGCTTCTTCTTCACACACGAGCTCGATTCACTGTAGCTCGCCTGGACTTTCATCAACGAGTCCATCTCACTGCAACTCGGATGATTTCACTTCAAAGTCCGGCTCATCGATCCAGCATCGAGCGACTCACTGCTCTTCACGATCACCACTATACCGGCTTTGATGTCTACATTTCAACCTGGGCCTCCGACATCGAGCGACTCACTGCCTCGTCGTCGAGCGCCACATCTCTTCTCTTTTCTTCTCGCCTGAACTTTCATCAACGAGTCCATCTCACGGCAACTCTGATGATTTCACTTCAAAGTCCGGCTCATCGATCCAGCATCGAGCGACTCACTGCTCTTCACGATCACCACTATACCGGCTTTGATGTCTACATTTCAACCTGGGCCTCCGACATCGAGCGACTCACTGCCTCGTCGTCGAGCGCCACATCTCTTCTCTTTTCTTCTCGCCTGAGCGCTACATTCATCATCATCATGAGCGTCGGCATCGACATCACGTTCTTCTCGGCTCTTCAGCCACGTCAACGAAGTCGCGTTTCCATCATCAAGCCTCCGCACAATCATCGCGTGAGCCCCTTTCTTCGTTTCATCCGTCATCATCTTCATGGACTTTCGACGTCATTTCTACCATTGTCGTAAGCTCTATTCATTCACTGCATTCATTCATGTCCATCTCATTACATGACCATTTAAACTCCGTGCAATATCCACGATCCTCATTCTGAATCATTTATTTGCTTGCATGACTACACTTTGCAAGTGTTGTGTCTGCAAATCAGTACCCAATAAAATAACGAAAAGGGAATGCAGTTTATCATGTATTTTATTGCCAGTGCAACCTTGTTTCCTCGTAGTTAAATTAAAAAGAGAGTTATGTTGTGTGATCAGTGAACACGCCTTTACAATATTCATTCACAATTCATCTACACACTAATAATTCCACAATGGTTTAGCTAGAAATGTTCCTAAAAAGCCTGTAATTTGGTTTCAATAACAAATATCTCTCTCTCTCTCTTTTCTCTCTCTCTCTCTCTCTCTCTCTCTCTCTCTCTCTCTCTCTCTCTCTCTCTCTCTCTCTCTCTCTCTCCTTGCTTTGCCCTTAAGAGGAGTAAGATAGGAGAGAGAGACAATGATAGAGAGAGAGAGAGAGAGAGAGAGAGGGGGGGGGGGGAAGAACAGATTAGACATACAAATTCAAATCTTGAGTGAGCTGAATTAACAAAAACTACATACTCATTGTTTTAGTCTGACTCCCTTTTAAGTTCAAAATGAAGAATTAAGATACTAATCTGCCTTAAAATTGTAATTCAAAACATGTAAATATTCTGGCATTCATGAAATTATTTTGATCTTCAAGCATCAGGTAAGGCATGATGGTGAAAATACATGCAATTTGTTTTTCAGAAGGTAATAATAAAGAGTCTTCATCAATATATGGGACGCTAAACTGGTCCCGGTATTTGATTCCATTATAAGTAAACATTCCCCAACATCTTTCATTTAAGCTGCATTTACACTTCAAGCAACAATTATCAATTTTTCCCACATTCCGCCTTTCCGGTGTTTTGTCAGAAGTTGCTGGGGCAACTACCGGTAAATATGATGCAAAACCGATATAAAAAAACCCACCATTAGAGTGAGGTCTTTCGAAATGCCGGCAGAAATTTCATAGAATTTTGCAGTGTAAATTCATACATAGATGTGAAGACTCTATCAACCTAATTTTTTAGAAATGGAAACATGTTCCCAACTATCGATCAAATTGATCGGAGGGGGGTAAACAACCCCCATCAACACACAATATGAAACAAAAAGACATCTCATCCACATCCACAGGCTAGGCCTGTCCTCATTAGCTCGAGTTTGCCAAATAACCCGCTATTTTCAGACTCAGGATATTATCCAGAAGCTCGAAATTGCGTTTTCACCAGACCGATAAGCTCATCACAAACTAGCTCGGACGGGCGCTAATTAGCCCACTATTTCCCAAATAGCGGGATATTTTGGAGACAAGACCAAGATTTCTCGGCATATTTTCTCGACCAAATATCCCGCTTATTGCAACTGCGGGTCGATGAAAGACACAAATTAACTGGTTAATTTGCGATCGGGATATTTAAAATAGCAGGTTATTTGGCAAACTCCAGCTGATGGAGACAGGCCTTCTATTTACAAGTGTGTCTCATCTATTTCGAGCCTCTACGGTTCAAAATATTGACTCAAGTCATTCAAGGTTCAAAGGTAGGGACAGAACACAAAGAGCCTGGTAGTGGTAGGGATGAACTGCCACGAAGTTAGCTATCACGAGAGTTGTCGTATTCTCAAATTTGACATATTTTCTTCACCTATATGATGCAAGCTACAATGACTTGCATGTTGGGTTTAAGTGTTTATGTAAGCAATGCCATGCGTACCGCACTGCTAACGACATTACAGTTGCATGATGATCTAGGCCAAGTTCTAGATGGTCTAGGGTTTCCCAGTCTACCAGGAATATAATTTTGAACACTTACATATTTATCCCCATTTTTCAATACTGGAATATTCATTTCCAAATATGAAAATCATTTTCATGAAAAATCAACATAGAGCATGTAACCAATTTTACAATACTAGGCATTGATCATTTTTCTTAAGACTTTCAACAATGCTTTCAATATTATTCTGACTGATCACCAAGCCATGAATGCTTTTAGAATAATGCAAAATGTTTAAAATAAATAGTAACCTTTATTAAAGTTAAATCACTTACGGCCATCCCTGTATTCCCACGGATGTAATTTCATATAAAATAATCTATTTCTATGTTCACGTATCAGGAAGTTGACCTCTTCAGAAGAAATATGAGATATAATATTACAAAACGCTCTTAAATAATGAGAATAATATTTCACTACTATACATGAAATGGTGGATCTCTTGTTTCAACAAACAGGAGTTGTTTACATCAAGTTATTTTCCTTTAAGCTATCTCACCTCGTTTTTGGACCCATCCTTCTTTGATGACTGTTATCGGTGCTTCCGAGACCGACATCGTCGTCGTCATCGTGAACCAGAGACCTGGGTGTTGGGAAGAAATAAGAGAGAAAATAAGATGAGAGCTGCAGGGTACTTTCTATGTTTTATATTTGCACATTTTCAGTCAAGATATGTAGCACTGGTAATGAAAATGGAGAATTCTTATTCTTGAAATTTGTGTTCAATGAGATATCTCAGTTGAGGGTCCATCTCTGTTGTTGTACTCATCTACACCCCCCCCCCCCTCTTGTTTAAATATTTTAAGTTCATTATTATTGGATACACGTATATTGAAGTATGTCAACACATTTTGAAACTGCATAATCTAAAACTTGCACCTAAACCAAAGAGTTTTGTGACTACCCAATGAGTAGCCTTTTTTCTACTTAATATTCATTCCCGACATTCAAACAATAAGACCTTCATCAAATCTGCATATAAACTTAACTTCATCCAGTTTAGAAACTCTATCACCCCAATAGCTTTCAAAGGTCAAATCCTCATTTTCCAAACTGGAACATATACAGAAGCAATATTGATATTTCTGATTTCCCCCATACAATTACATATTCTGTAAATAAGTTTTATCAATATGTGGTTAGCAATTCAGTCACAAAACGGATCCCTTAACGGTGCTGAAAAAGAGTTTAACTATTCAGAGACACTAGCATGCCTCTACACAGAGGAAAATAGAAATAATATGATGGTAAAGCGGGAAATAGTCAAAAGGTGACGAACAGCAATGCAGATACGAAAGAGATTGGCTATATTCATATAGATACAGGCACAGGTACCCTCCTTCAAAGCTTAAAGAGAAGGTTGAGTTCTGGGAAGAGGTGAACAATAATTTGTGAGCATTATCGTTGTATTATGCAAGTGTGAAAGAACATCAGATAAAAAATGTTCCCTGAAAAGCATGACTTCAAATGCCTTAATATTCTAAATATGGCATGTAACATCATACAAATCGGGATGGATTTTTACGCCACATGTTCGTGTAGTCCCATATTCATCTTTATGTGTACAGTGCTTGTAACTTAACCAAGACTGGGCCTAATTTCTTACCATTTTGATGATTCCAGAACCTTGCATTACACACCAATACTTATATGCTAGATGATCAACCTTTCCTGATCGATTCCACAATGTTTCTTTCACAATGCAATCGCATGGCCAGAACTCAACTTTATCTTTAAATATCATGAGAGACACTTGCACGCCTCTACATCGTTGAAAATAGAAATAATATGAGGGTAAAGCGGGAAATAGAAATAATAAGAAGGTGACAAACAAGGCTAAGACATTAATCAGCTGCGGGGTCATCTTGGATGGATGCAGCCTGGCTTTTTCGGGGCTGTCTGTTTGCCTGATGGCATCTAGGAGATATCAATTATTAAATGAGTGTTGTCGCATCTCTGGTGTCCCTTTCACATTCAACGGTGGAGAGGGTCAAGTCCGGGCTCGGTCCGGCTTGGCATCAGCATAATTACACGATGAACTTCACTCTATACACAGTGAGGGCTCGGTGATCTCCTTCAAGAAAAGGAGAAAGTCTGCACCAAAATGGGATTCTTCCTAATATGAACAGTAGACCAATGTGGATTAGAGTATCTTTGATTAAAAATAGGAAGGTGGGCAAAAAACATCAGTAAGCTGGGGGGAAAAATACTATCCTTGTGCCCAAAGTTAACCGTGGTAAAAATTACAAATAGTAGATGTGATAGATGTACAGTGTATGCTCTGGCAGCTTGGAATATGAAAGTTGGCTAAAAAAAAAAGAAAAAAAAGTTAACATCGGCATTAGCTGGAATAAAACGTATAAGGCCCTATCTCGTTTTTCAACAGCTGGTTCAAATTATCAAATATTTGTGGGGCACAACAAGTATTAGAAATTGTTATATTTATGGATATTTCAGCTGTCTCTGAACTGTTTTTGATCAAACAAAGATGATTTTGTCATTTAAATTGTATGTTCTTTCAAATTTGACATTCAGTTTTTCATCATCTCACAAAAAATATTTTGCGTAGTGCCCTCTGCAACAAAACTTAACTATCCCTTTAAACACCAACCTGTTCTCTTCGCCTCTCTCTCTCTTTCTCTCCCTAATTTCAAGATTTCCCCATCTTCTTTTTCTATCAACCACTCTCTCTCTCTTCCTCTTTCTAATTTTACAAATTTTCTTTCGTGTTCTCTATCTCACACTTTATTTCTCTTTCTCTGTCTCCCATCTCTCTTTCTCTATAACACCTACATGTAATCCTACTCTCTTACGATCATCCACCACATCTCTTAGAAATACCAACACACGACCAAATCTAATCAACTATAATCAATATCCATATAGACAAAAACAAAAAAGCTCACAATATAGTAATCTTAGATGAAGTGTAAAACATCCAATATCAACCAAAAATAACGTGTTTTCTTCAGCAATGAGTCATCAAAAAATAAATCGATGAGGAAATTCTATCCTGTTTTGCAAGTGCCACAGAATCTGTGAAGGAAGTATCAACCCTGAATCCTTGAATAACAATGATCATAAAAGAATTTTAATTTCAATAACAACATTCGATCATTAGTTTGAAAATGTCACTAAAAGTCATGCTCGCCATGTCCAACACACATCTGTTGTCTGTTGCGTTGTTAATTAACCAGCAAGCTTGGGGAAAACAAGTAAACCAGTAGATGCACCTGATCTTTCAACATCTCTGGCTCCGGTTTCACAACTCTAAAGCGGACCTTTTGAGAACAGTGGAGACCCGTGGATCCTGAAAAACAATTTGTTTACAGATGCTGGGCAAACTCTAGTTTCACTTTTATTTTCTGATTGCCAACAAAACAGGCCTGGAATGTGACTACCCTATGAGAAAAACAAGCAAATACTGTTAATAGCTTCCTTAAAAAAGAATGGGATGATGGATTTACTTTACTATCAAGGCTAAACTGGAGTGGATACATGTAGCTTGTATTTCCTCTTTCCCTCTCTCTCTACACTACACTACAGTGCCAGGAATGTATATAGAGCACTTGATCGTTAAAAATAGAAAACAAAATTTACACTTCAGATCCCTGTGTTTTTTAAGTTGCTAGGCAACAGCCGGTAAAAACAACAAAAAAACCCACCTCTGTAGTGTGGTTTTTTTAACACCAACAGAAATTTCACAGATTTTTCCAGTGTACCGGTACATGTAAATGCTGGCACTCAAAACAGTCTTTTGGTCAAATGACTCTTGTTTTCTTGGTCAAATAGACAACTGCAGTCGTACGATTGACCTCTTGGATTCAACTAGGTTCTCTCAGGCCCTATTTATTTGTACAAATTACATTTCGCTACGAGTCACCAAACTGTGTTAATGCCTTATGGCGCTCTCTGCTCTCAACAACAACAATTCTTAATTATAAACTAAACTTGGTTCAAACTAATGTGGGATGAAGTGGGAAAACTGAAAATATGTGTACCGTTTTAAATCTGCATCCATCAAAATCCTGGAAAAAAAATTCTGAATCTGATCAGGTATGCTACATTGTTATGGTGGATAAAACCGGACTGAAAACAAGATATTTGCTGGATTATTCTCAAACATGATCCATATACCGGATAATAAAAAATAAAAATTTGAGACACCTGCTTGCTTCTCACCGCAAGATACAGAAAATCTGATGGCTTTTATCTTGAACAGAACTCCTTGTTTTGAAATGGTTACAAGAGGAAGACAGATAATGATATGGAGAAAAGAAGAATAACAAACAGGATAGGGAGGGGAAGTCGGAAAAATATCAACATACTGTGAAACAAAATATTTGTAATCCCCCAAATAGATTGATAAGAGGGCATTGTGTCTTTGAGATGGAAACAAAAATATCATCTCAACACAATAGGTCAGTCAATGCATGAAATACAGAGAGAGAGGGAGGGGGAGAGAGAGAGAGAGGGAGGGGGAGAGAGAGAGGGAGGGGGAGAGAGAGAGAAGGGGGAGAGAGAGAGAGATAGTGAGAGAGAGAGAGAGAGAGAGAGAGAGAGGAGGGGGGGGGGGAGAGAGAGAGGGGGAGATAGAGAGACAGAGAGAGGGGGAGATAGAGAGATAGAGAGACAGAGAGAAGGGGAGGGAGAGACAGAGAGAGAGAGAGAGGGGGAGGCACTTTTCCACTGATCAAGTGATTATCATTATTATTACCAATATCAATATTTTTATTATCATTACCATCATCATCATTATCATCATTATCATCATTGTCGTCATCGTCAATATTATTATCAAATTTTAATATACAATTACTAAAAATAAGCGTGACTGACATAAACAATGTCCCATCATATAGAGTACTAATATAGTTTCTACATGTCATTAGTTTTATCATAAAGCACATTGTCAGAATCATTCATATTCAGAGTTGCGACACACAGACATGCTCAATATACATATCATGGCATCAGGCATAGCAGCAATACATGAGGCACATGTCAGTCATGAAGCTCTCAATGTAAAGCAATCCTGTAGTCCAATCTAGACTGGCCTCTGTAATTACCAAGGAAATGAAGTCGAATCAAAGCCTAACCTATTACCAAGATTCCATCTTTAAACATAGCTAGCCCCCGTGACTATAGGGGGTGCACGGGAAAAGAAATCAAGTTGTTTACTCCGCCAATCGGCTCGCCTCAGATTTCAGTAAATGAACCTTCCTGTCATTTGCGAACCACTTTCATCTGATTCTTGTTGTCAATTTGAGCCAAGCTTGTTTTACTACATTTTCTCTTACATTTTTTCCGCCTGCTATCTCCTTTGCTGCTTTGCTGTTGACTCGTTCAAGTACTGGGCATGTTTGTATGCTCCGATTTTGAGTCTCTTACTTTAAAAACATGATTTGTGTGTGTGTGTGGCAAATTAGAGAGCAATTTGGCGCTGGATTTGCAGTGTATTTAGGTACATGTAAACAAATGTGAGAATACACACCCACACCAACCACTTACATACACACACTACGTCCAATGTTTACAGACTTTCAGGACATCTGAAGTATTCCAAAAATATGAAATCAGTAA